TAATACATTTGATACCATTGCCCCTCTGAAAAAGAAGGTAGTGAAACAGAGGAGGCTAGCCCCGTGGTACAGCTCGCAGCTCCGCTCCCTAAAGCAGGCATCACGAAAAATGGAAAGGAGGTGGCGCTCCACTAAGTCAGAAGAGTTTTTCATAGCCTGGAAAGATAGTTTAATAACATATAAGAAAGCCCTTCATAGTGCCAGAACCGCATTTTATTCATCACTGATTGAGGAAAATAAGAACAACCCCAGGTTTCTTTTCAGCACTGTAGCCAGGCTGACAAAGAGCCACAGTGCTGTTGAGCTTAACATTCCCTTAGATCTCAGCAGCAATGACTTCATGAGCTTCTTTACAAATAAAATCACAACTATTAGAGAAAAAATTGGTCGGACCACTCCCACAGCTCTCGCAGATGTGCCATCTACTACAATGGCTTTAGAAACATCTGTAAGACCTCATTTATACTTGGACTACTTCTCCCCTATAGATCTCTCTGAGTTGACCTCAGCAATTGCTTCATCTAAATCATCAACATGTCTCCTGGACCCCATCCCGACCAGGCTGCTCAAAGACGTCTTTCCCCTAATCAACACATCCATACTAGATCTGATTAACCTCTCTCTATTAACAGGTTATGTTCCACAGGCTTTTAAACTTGCAGTAATTAAACCTCTACTCAAAAAGCCTACTCTTGACCCAGGTGTCCTAGCTAATTATAGACCAATATCCAATCTCCCATTTATTTCCAAAATCCTTGAAAAAGCTGTTGCAAAGCAGTTATGTGACCACTTGCACAAGAATGATTTGTTTGAGGATTTTCAGTCAGGATTTAGAGTCCATCATAGTACAGAAACCGCATTGGTGAAAGTCACCAATGATCTTCTGCTAGCCTCGGACAAAGGACTTGTCTCCATACTTGTCCTCTTAGATCTCAGTGCTGCTTTTGACACCATTGATCACAGCATCTTACTGCAGAGACTTGAACATGTTATTGGGATTAAAGGAACTGCGCTAAGTTGGTTGAAATTTTATTTATCAGAAAGATTTCAATTTGTTCATGTTAATGATGAATGTTCCACACAAACTGAAGTTAGTCACGGCGTTCCACAGGGCTCTGTGTTAGGTCCAATTCTCTTCACTTTATACATGCTCCCTTTAGGCAATATTATCAGGAAGCACAACATAAATTTCCATTTCTATGCAGATGATACTCAGTTATATTTATCTATGAAGCCAAATGAATCAGGTCAGTTGGTCAAACTTCAAGCATGTCTTAAAGACATAAAGGCCTGGATGACCTGCAACTTCTTACTTCTAAACTCTGACAAAACTGAAGTTATTGTGCTTGGGCCTGAAAACCTTAGAAATCTGCTGTCTAATCATATAGTTACTTTAGATGACATAGCTCTTGCCTCCAGTACTACTGCGAGGAACCTTGGAATCATCTTTTGATCAGAATATGTCCTTTAAATTGTTAAAATTCTTTGATTTAGTGGAATATAAGACCGCTGTTTTTATGTATAAAGCCAGGAACGACTTATTACCTGGTGGAATCCAAAAGTTATTTGATGAAAGGGAAGGGGGATATAATTTAAGGGGTCAGTTAAATCTAAAAGTTCATGCTATACATACAACCAAAAAAAGATTTTGTATTTCTATAAGTGGGGTCAAATTATGGAATAATTTAAGTGTAGACATAAAAAACAGTACTAGAATTGAGGAGTTTAAATATAAATATAAATGTATGTGTCATTCAAGATATATGCAAGAATAAGAGATTTAATCAAGAATGCATGAAGGAAACACTTTGTTTTAAATTTTCTGTGTATTACTTGTTTGGTGAAGAAGAGAATTACCCATGTAGAGATACTGCTTGCAGCCAATGATGCATGACATTTTTTTTGTATAAGATGATGTTATGGGGTAGGACTGGATAAGTCTGACTTCTTCCTACTCCATTCAAACATGTACTAGGTATAGGCAAACTGATTCTGGATTAGCATTGGTTGGATTTGTGTAATTATGTGTGTGTTGATGTCATTGTTCTGCATGTTTGAAAGAATAAATCAAATCAAA